GCAAAGGCTCCAGGGAAGAGAGCGGGCCACGGTAAAATTATCAAAGGCTGACTGGTCCGCGGTGATAAAAAGGTTGGGGACCACTGCTCTATGTGATGGGTTTTTTTTTGCCAGAAACTGAAAGTAAATACCAGTTTCCAATAAAAATTGTTAAATCATGATCACATGACCACAGGGTGCTGGAAACAGCTGTAAATGCAAACTAGTTGCTGAGCACCCAAAATGCAGTCACATATGTGCTAGAATGCCAGAATATCTGGGCCTTAAGTAGCTTTTCAGGGTCCGTCAGAGCTTCAGTGACATGAATTTTAATACTGTATTTTTATTTTTTTTATCTCTTTTTTTTTTAATTAAATGTTTCTCGTGTGTTGTGAGCCACCCAGAGTCCCTATGGGAGTGGGCGGCATACAAATTCTAATAAACTTGAAACTTCAGTCACAAAGTTATTAGTCATAAATCGAGGACTATTTAGATAGGATAGCAGGTTTAAGGAAAAGGGGGAATTCCTCTATTTTTTTTCTAATACATCCTTTTAAAATATATTTTCAATTTAATTAATATCCTGCCTGCCTATTTACATGAAATGCTTATGGCGACTAAAGCAAATAAACCCAAAGGAGCTTTTTCAAAAGGCAATTGGATTTACTTGGTTGTTATCGTTTTTTTTACTTGAAGATGTTTCACTTCTCATCCAAGAAGCTTCCATTCAGCTGGAACTGAAGAAGCTACTTAGGTAAGAAGCGAAATGTTTTCAAGACAAAAGTCCAGCTGCCTTTTGAAAAAGCACCTTTGGGACAACAATGATCTGGCTGACTGAGAATCTCTATAGAGATGGAACAGCAAATAAATACAAATATTAATGTTAATATAAAAATTAACCATTAAGGAGCTAAGCAGAAGAGATGCTTCTTGGAACAACTCAACTTAAGGACTTTGCACCAGCTCAAAAATTTCTGAAACTGTTGTCTTCAGGTGGCATTGGCTCATTTTGAGAGCTGAATTTTCATGCCAAACTGATCTCTTCTTTTGCAATGTTGGAGGCTGTGGATACTTTTTATACCTTTTGCAGATACGTTTTGTATCTCCGACCACTCAGGAGTCAGTAAACCAATGGTGGGATTCAGCCAGTTCCCCCCACTTCGGGAGAACCGGTTGTTAACTTTCTGAACAGTTTGGCAAATTGGTTGTTGGAAGAAATCATTAGGACAGAGAACTTAAATCCCACCACTGTAGTAAACCATTTGCTTTCAACCCATTTTGGGGTGGGGGAGGGGGAATCTCAAAGCCTGGTGTTTGCACACAAGCTACAGTAAGAGACCCTTTAGCATGAAGTAGGAGGAACTGCAGCATTTTATTTTTCTTTCAAATGGAGAAGGAAATTTGTGTTTTTCTTTGGGATCTGCAATTGCTCTTGGACAGATTTCGGATTTATTTTTGCACTCCTATAGTTTGCAACCCTTCTTGGATTACTACCTTGTACCGTAAAAGTAATCTTCAGCCTGGTTGTTTAGTAACCATTCAAGCCTACCGCAGAGAGTTCCGTCTACTTCCAACCCTGATACGAACTTCAAACAGCGGCCTCTCTTTCCCCCCCCTCTTCACACTCATTTAATCACTTTGGATGCTGGGCAACTAGCCCACATTTATGGCTGCTTGCTGCATTCACATGACTGCTCTTTATAGTCTTTCTTGTTTACTTCCAGTTGCTGGCAAAAAGCAACCATAGCAGACAATAGACTCACTTAATGACCAGTAATCACTTAACAATGCTGCAAAAAAGGTTGTAAAATTGGACCTGGTCCTGATTCACTTAATGACTAGCACAGGTAATGTCCATAATTCTGGGCTCAATGGTTGTAAGTCAAGGGCTGGCTGTGGAGGAGGGGCTTGGCACAACCTAGAGATGCCATGTGCTATACCTTTGTGTGTTTTCATGCCCAGAAACGTTGCCCAATGGGCAGATTATTGATGAAGAATCACAACCAACAATACATTACTGGAGGGGAAAAAATGGCAACTTCGCCAAAAATACATAGAGAGGGAGGGAGGGAGGGGTTACTGGAAGATGACACCATTCCCACCATCCAGAAGGTATTCAAGAAGCTATTTGGGAAGAGCACAGAAAGCAAACACAATTATTATTGGTGCTTACGATAGCATTAGATATTCAGTTACTGCTAAAATGATATATCCTTCATGAGCTGGGACTGTTTTGACAGATCAAAATTATGGGTAAGATGGAAGTACGGATTTATGATTTGTGCACATTATTTCATGGGAGTTTTGGCTGGTTGTCAAAGCAAATTGCAGCTTTGCTTTGGTGAAATTCGAGAGTGAAAATATTGAGAACAGAACAGAGGTGTCAGAACTGGATTTCTTCCAGTTCTGAGCCAAGGTGGCGCAGTGGTTAAATGCAGCACTGCAGGCTACTGCTAGATCAGCAGGTCAGCGGTTCAAATCTCACCGGCTCAGGGTTG